TGACCTTCTGGGATAATTATGGTCACCATTTACAGAGCTTATTGATTAAGCAATTAATAAATGATGATAAACCCAGGAATTGCTAAGTGTAAGCACTGCGGCAGCAGCAGACAAATGTTGAATACTAACCTCCACCTGGGTAATAGCAGAGCCGGGAGAAAACGCAGGAAGTACGAGCATTCCAAGGGTTGACGCTCTGCAAGGTGGGGATATTAAAGAATTTCAGCCATTTACTTTCATCTGCCCTCCATTCATAGCACTCTAAAGCACTGTCCAAACAGACATTTCAAGCAGTGACTTATCATGAGGAGAAGACTGAAAATGCTTACTGTCCCACACATTTTCACACAGAATATGTGCATCTAGTCTCCACTATCTTTACTGTCCTAAGTATCCAGTTGTATATTGTTGGAAATTATTTTTTCCTGGCAGCCCACAAAGTGAAACAGTCCTAAGAGGGCTCTTTATTTAAATTCAAAGAGCAAGTGTTAAGATTTTCTGCAAAAATATTTTTTTATAACTAAAGTGTTCTGCTGTGTTTCTTTGCATATACAGTACACATGAGTATATATTATCATGAGAGACAGTATATAGGTTTAATTTCTTATGATTTCACTTAAATAGTTCTTTCTTTTGCTTTCTTATGATTTATGATTTCACTTAAATATTACTTTTATTATGGAAATATATAAAACAGAGTTTCCAGTTGAAAGATGTAGGCTAAAACTATTTCAAAACACTTTTGATACTAAGAAATATTTTTATGTATTCAAATACACATTTTTAACATGGTTGGAGAATCCCATTACATTGTTATTCTTTATAATGAATACATAAATGAGCTACAAAATTTAAGGTGAAGATTTAATCTTAGCAAACAGTAAGCATGACACACTATACCTTTGCACGGTGTTTAAGTTCTTATCTGGCGTGTTTATTGATAGTTTCCAGTATGTTCATTGATAGCTTACTGATAATTCTTATCTGGTATGTTTATTGACAGTTTCTGGTATACTTTATTGATATATATGTATGTTTCGTTAGAATAAGAGATTATCATGAAGAGATATGTTTTTATTTAAGATGATTATTAAAACGATGACCAGGCAATAGACAGTACTCTGGCTTAAAAACAATAAACTATCAACAGAGTTACAATCTATACATATTTATTAGCTGTGGTAATCACAGCTAATATCTATGGGTTATCTATGGGTATCATAGATATTAAAATCTATACATTCTATTGCATTATTCTGTTCTTGGTGTGATTTTGGAAACACAAACTACCAAGTAAGATGCCATTCTCCTCTGGTCAAGCCTGTCTAGGCCTTAATAATCAGAATCCACAAAGAGGAGTCACTGAATGGAGGTAATAACATATTACCTTTGTCCAAGGTATTTTCCCTATACCTAACTCCAAACACAGCAGATATCACCAGTTGTTCAGGACTTTTTTTTTCTTGGCAGGATGGTAAAGATTACCCATTTATCCTGCCAAGTCATTACCTAGTGAAACAAATGAGCATTTTATGTCCAGATATTTAACTAAGTGTTCTTTATACTCAAATGCGTCCTTATCTGAAGAACTGCTGAAATAGTCAACTCTCTCCTACTTATACTTATGAAGAGTTGTGAAGTCATAAAAAGACAAGCAAACTGAAACTTGCTTTTAATTAACATCTAATCAGATTCTTGAATTTATATGTTTAAGCCCTACAAGGGTTCCTTCCTCCTCTTCCGGAAGAGAAGCTATTTCTATATATAATGGCAGGGAGTGCAGTCAGAAGTTCTGTGTTTGCTAAATTATCAGTTGACAGATCATTTCTACCACCTAGCAGGCCACAGAGGAAGGAAGTGCCAGGCAACCTTCAACACCACTATGGTTGGATCTAGCAGGTGATCCACAATCAGCTTTAGGCATTTCTTTTCACCTTAATCATAAATTATTTCACTCCTACAGAAAATCCAAGAGACTAAGATGACAACTATATACTCTCCATCCAGGTTAATAATTTTTTTTCAGGTTAATGTTGCTATATTTGCTTCAAATATTTTCATTTTATGTTATTTTCTTTTTGAGAAATAATGTCTAAGAAATACAGTTCCAACCCTCTGGGTATAATTCCCTAAGCACATTCCCCAGCCTGGTCCTGAAAAATGTAACTGCTATTCTTAATTTGTGGTGTTCTAATCCATGAATGCATATGTATGATCAACGAGACTTGCTTGCATGTCTTAAACATTTTTATAAATATCCCCATACTGTAGTGGCTATCATTCCACAACTTGCTTATTTTCATTGTACATTGTTTCATAATTTCAACATTTGATTCATGCAGCTCTAGTTCATTAATTGCAACTACTGATTAGAGTTGTATTTCATGAGTATTTTATAATACCAATGAATTCCTTAGCAGACATCCTGGTTTTTGTGAAATTTTTTACTATTTCAAATAATACTAAAATGAACATTCTTTAAGACGTGTCCTGGGCACTTGTATAAAGAGCTTCTGAGGGCTATTTATCTGGATTGCCAGGTGTTTACACCTTCAGCTTTACTGGGTATGGTTCCATTCGTTCTCCAAAGTGGTGACACTGTATTACAGTCCCATTATCCGTGTATGAGGGCTCCCTTTCCCAACAGGTAATGACTCTCTAACATTTGGGCTCTTTGGAAAACTAATACATGTGAAAGAAATCTCATTTTTGAAAACTTTGTCCTTTTCTATAAATTTTCTCTTTACATATTTTGCCCTAAAGGATAACTTTACTCACGCCTCTCCTTCTGCTATGTAATTATTTTACTTAAATCACTGCTGCCTTTTCCTGCGGTGTCCCTCACCAAGGTACCCCTCCCTGCAATATTATATTTTCTAGTTCTACTAATGTCACTTTTACCAAACGACTTGATTTGCTCAGTGAAATCTGAGTGAAAGTAACTCCTGTCAACTCTGAGCAAAGGCAGTGTGGGCCAGATTATTTGCTCTGAGCTCATCTTTCCGTATCACAAAACTAGAGATTCCCAGATAGAAGTTCCTCCATCAGCCTGACTCACAGAGTGAAGATTGTATGGAGCCAAGCTAAGGTCAATCTACAGTAGACATTTAGTGGGAGCAAAAAAATGCACCTTTAATGTATAAGCTACTGAGATTTGGGGATATTCTAGCACCGTACAACCTCTTGAAACTGATTGAAATAATGATCCTACCCATTCACTATCTTCCCATCCTTTACTTGGTCGATGCTTACATAGACAAGGTTTTCTCTTTTCCATTTTCTTTACCTCTGCTAGTTGGGAAGCTTCGGATTACAACTTTTCCAACGGTTGTCCTTAAGTTTTCAGCCTATAAGAAACTTAGCAAGCATGATACTGATCACTCCCCCTCCACAATTGTGGTATTCCTGGCTCGATTTTTAACTTCACCTTTATTTTAAACCACACACAACAGTCTCTATATTCTTTTTTTTTTTACTGTCAATAATTTATTAAGTTTACCGATATATTTTATTTATTTGTATAGAAGGTCTGTTGTTTTTACTTTTGATTACTGTCTCCCTCTGGTTTACTGTTCCTTGTCTAGTGATTTGTGCCTGTTTGGATGTTGCCTCTGGGTCTCCCGTGTAAAACTAAGTCTTATAATGACAGGTTGTGGTTCGTGCCTCCATGCTATTAGAAATATTGAAGTACTGGTCCAGGGACAGCAGGTAGCTTTGCTCAGGTCCTGATGAACATGTTGTGTCTTTGTCCTCCCACTCATTAAGCCTGTGTTCCCACATGAACCTCAACCCCAAGATGAGTGCTATGCGCATTTCCCAGCCAGGGCCCCTGTGAGCACTCTGCATGGTCCTATATTTTGCGTTTGGAACAACTTGTAACTACTCAAAGAGAAAGACTTTTTATCACTTGTAAAATACCCTACCAACTCCCCACCCCCAACCAAACTTATAACCAAGGAGAGAAACTTTTTCTAATTTGCACAAAGTACCTGTATAGTTTAGCGGAAACTAGTTTCCACCTCCACTTAGCAATTTTCATTCCTGTTTCATTCCTGTTCATTCCTCCTGTTTCAAGAGCTCAACTCCCAGCTGCCACTCTCTGCAGCTCCATTCATCTCTTTGGATTTCTTGTCCTTGGAAATATAAATCTTTTTAAGCCTGGCTTTGGTTGTAAAGTTTTCTCCTTGGGAATGTACCTGCCATTCAGATGTGTTTAGAGCAGAGTAGCTCTTCAAAGCATATCCTTGCTACGATCATAATGAATGACATTTGAATTCTCTCATAATTCCTCTTGAAAGCAATACTCCCACCTTCTCTGATTCGATGTCCTCACCCTCCTCCTTTGTGAAACATCAATTTACCCCAAGTGAGAAAGGAGCCTTGACATTCTTGTACTTTTTATTTTGTACATTTAGCTGTCTTTGCTTTAGCCAGATTTTAATAGGGCTTTTTCTAAACCAAGGCGACTACTAGTGTTGCCTGGGAAAGGGTTGGATTCTGGTCCTGTGAAATAGGGAATGACACCTGAAAATCCAGTTAATTTTATCCAGTTAGTTTTATCCACCAAGCATAACCCAGACTCCTTTCCTCCTAAGTTAACTAGACCAACACCTCTACACAGTGTAAGTATGTATTTTCTTCCAAAGAAAACACAAACTTTTCTTTCTTTCTTCTTTCTGTCTTTCTTCTTTTTTTTCTTTCTTTCTTTCTTTTTTTCTTCTTTCTTTCTTTCTTCTTTTTTAAAGATTTTATTTATTTATTTGACAGGGAGAGACACAGCGAGAGAGGGAACACAAGCAGGGGGAGCAGGAGAGGGAGAAGCAGGTATCCCGCTGAGCAGGGAGCCCGACGCAGGGCTCGATCCCAGGACCCCGGGATCATGACCTGAGCCGAAGGCAGATGCCTAATGACTGAGCCACCCAGGTGCCCTAATTTATTTTTAAAACACTAATTTCTTACATGAGGAAAGTCACTGACTCTAATTAGCATTCCTAGTTTCTCTCTTTCACTCTTCCCCACGCCACCCTGCATAGCGTGTGTGTGTGTGTGTGTGTGTGTGTGTGTGTGTAGAAACAATATTGGCATTATTGTGGCTGAGGGAATATTTCCCTCCTTCAGGGTCTGCTTTCATGCCCAGGACCTATATCATCTAAGACTGTCTTGGGCTGACCTCTCTGAGGCCAATGGCATGCTCCTCAAACAAACTTTCTAGTACTTAGGATATTTGATGGCTCAATGCCTACTGCCCTCTGTGCATGGTGGTCCATAGCTCTTCAAAACAGCTAAGAAAATCACTGTGAATGTCCATCTCTCCCATCATTCTGCCCTGTAATAAGTCCCATCTTTAAAATTCCTCTAATGTTTTCTTCTCCATTCATTTAGTTAGATACTGCTGTGACTCCTATATTCCCCAACTCCTAACAGATATTATTTCAATTGCCTGTTCCAACTAGGCTTAATGCAACATTGAGCTTAATGCAAGCCCAATGCTTGCCTTTTGGGGATATCTGGGAAAGACAGATCAAAGAATTTTCTTAAAAACCTTACTTTTGGTGACCCACATCCGATCTGACTTCTGATGCCTATTATGGAAGACCCTCTGTCCTCACTTGTCCCTTTAGCTTGGCACATGTCAGTGCTGAAAATTGCATTCCCTGTTAGGAAAGAAGGGTCTCCTATTTCAGGACAGAAATAGTCCAGCTTGAACCAGGATAAAATTGTTCTCTGCTAATACCACACTTGGAGCAAGAATATAACTAATTTGACATTTGACACTTTCCACAAATTAGAAATTAATTCCTACAGTCAAGGAAAACCCAACTCTTCATAGGCCAGATTAATAGCTGTCCTGTATATTTATAACAAATTTATTAGTAGTAGGCTCATAATATATTACTTATGACATTGTTATAAAAATAAAAGGAAAAGGTGATTGTGTGTATTAGTTTTCTATTGCTGTATAACAAATTACCACAAACATAGCAGCTTTAAAAAGATACCCAGTCATTCTCGCAGTTTGACAGCTCAGAATGCTGTGTGGGGTTGGATGGCTTCTCTGCTGAGGTTCTTGCATGGCTGAAACTGAGATGTCCTCCAAGTTGGGCTCTGATACTAAGGCTGTGGAGAATAATTCATGTCCAAGCTCATTCAGGTTTTTGACAGAATCCACATCTTTGTAGTATACATCTGAGGTCCCCACTGTCTTGCTGGCTGCCAACTGTGGATCTCTCTCTTCTCCTAGAGACCATTCATAGTCCTTCTTATGTGCCTGCCTTCATCTTCAAACCAGAAACAGAGTATCCCAGTCCTTATCACTCTTGGAATCTTCCTGACTTCCTTTCCTGCCATCAGCAGGAGGAGGTTCTGCCTTTAAATGGCTCAGGTGATTAGATTAGGTCCACCAAGATAATTCCCTTTGGTATAAAAAATAAAATCTTCATGGGAGTAACATGGGAGAGCAAAGGTTACAAAAGCCATCTTAAAATTCTAACTGACACAGTATTCATTCTGAAAGTGTAAATTCATTGAATACACCCTCTATGTATTATATTCCAGTTCTCATATTAAAACGTCAGGATTGGAAGATGAATGAGATGATGAAAGAGTGTCACAAACCAAGGATTATGATAACCAACTCCTGTGGATCTAAAGGTCAAATCAAAAAGATTAAAAATAGTGGTGCTTGGGTGGCTCCATCAGCTGGGCATCTGACTCTTGATTTCAGTTTAGGTCATGATCTCAGGGTCGTGAGATCAATCCCTACGTGGGGCTTCATGCTGGGTGTGGAGCCTGTTTGAGGTTCTCTCTCTCTCTTCCCCTCCCTGCGAAAAAAGGATTAAAAATATAAGAGTAGATCCTGTTTTCATTTTCTTTGGATATATACCCCAAAGTGGGATTGGTGGCTAATAGGGTAGATTTGTTTTTAATTTTTTGAGGAAACTCTGTACAGTTTTCCATAGTGGCTACACCAACTTATACTCCCCCCAACAATGAAAAAGGGTTCTCTTTTTTCCACATCTACGCAAACACTCATTACCTCGTATTTTTTTGATGATAGTCATAACAGGTATAAGGTGTGAGGTGATAGCTACACCCTTATATTCATTGCAGCATTATTCACAATAGCGAAGATATGGAACAATGTGAATGTCCATCAATGGATGAATGGACATAGAAGATTTGGTATGTGTATAAAATGGAATATTATTTAGCCATATGAAAGGACATTCTGTCATTTGCAACAATGTGGATGGACCTTGAGAGCCTTATGCTAAGTAAAATAGACAAACAGAAAGACAAGTATTGCATGATATCACTTATAGGTAGAATATAAAAATGCCAAACTCATAGAAACAGAGACTAGAATGTTGGCTACCAGGAGCTGGGGTGCAGGGAAATAGGAAGATGTTAATCAAAGAGTACAAACTTCCAGTTATAAGATAAATAAGTTCTAAGGGTCTAATGTACAGCATGGGGACTATAGTTAACAATATGTATTATATACTTGGAAGTTGTTAAGAAGGTAGATCTTAAATGTTCTCAACACAAAAAAGAAATTATGATTATGTAACATGTTACAGCTGTTAGCTAATGCTATGGCAGTAATCATTTTGCAATATATATCAAATCAACTCAGTTGTGTAAACTTATATAACATTATATGTCAATTACATCTCAATAAAGCTGGAAAGAATTAAAAAATAATAGTAGATTAGTAAAATATGGATGTATTATCAAAGGTCTTTGGCCTAAAGAGAGAAAGAGAATGTAAATAGTGGCAATGTAATAGCATTTGCAGATGCCATGAGAGTATTAAGTGCCGGATTCTCGGGAGCTTAAAAGAGGAATAGTCCAACTGGGTATTTACCCCGAAGATACAAATGTAGGGATCGGAGGGGTACATGCACCCCGATGTTTATAGCAGGAATGTCCACAATAGCCAAACTATGGAAAGAGCCAAGATGTCCATCGACAGATGAATGGATAAAGAAGATGTGGTATATATACATATACAATGGAATATTATGCAGCCATCAAAAGGAATGAGATCTTGCCATTTGCAACAACGTGAATGGAACTGGAGGGTATTATGCTAAGTGAAATAAGTCAGAGAAAGACATGTATCATATGACCTCACTGATACGAGGAATTCTTAATCTCACGAAACAGACTGAGGGTTGCTGGAGTGGTGGGGGGTAGGAGGGATGGGATGGCTGGGTGATAGACATTGGGGAGGGTATGTGCTATGGTGAGTGCTGTGAATTGTGTAAGACTGTTGGATCACAGACCTATACCTCTGAAACAAATAATACATTATATGTTAAAAAAAAAGAAGAAGGTAGCAGGAGGGGATGTATGAAGGGGGGGAATCGGAGGGGGAGATGAACCATGAGAGATGATGGACTCTGAAAAACAAACTGAGGGTTCTAGAGGGGAGGGGGTTGGGGGGATGGGTTAGCCTGGTGATGGGTATTGAGGAGGGCACGTTCTGCATGGAGCACTGGGTGTTATGCACAAACAATGAATCATGGAACACTACATCAAAAACTAATGATGTAATGTATGGTGATTAATATAATAATAAAAAAAGGAGTGGTCCATTCTACTAAGGAACTGGTAAAGCATCAAAAGTTTCCCAAAGAAGACCACACACAGCTGATTTTGAATGACAAGTAAGTCATTATGAAGTTTGCAAAGTAGCAAGGACATTCTATGACAGGAAATCTGCATAAGCAAGTCAGAGGTATATATTGACCTGTTTGCAGAAACTAATGAGCCATGCAAAGGAAGTGAAGATGATATAATAATTTACTCACATTGCTGTTGGAGCCTCCATGAATCATAACCCACACTCTGATAAAGAACAATGATGTAGATAGGAGGTCATTTACTGGCATGGCATTTCTTTTTTTTTTTTTTTTTAAGATTTTATTTATTTATTTTTTGTCAGAGAGAGAGCACAAGCAGTGGGAGAGGCAGGCAGAACAGGTAGAGGGAGAAGCAGGCTCTCTGCCAAGCAAGGAGCCTGATGTGGGACTCGATCCCAGGACCCTGGGATCATGACCTGAGCTGAAGGCAGACGCTTAACCGACTGAGCCACCCAGGCGTCCCTGACATGGCATTTCTTGTCTCAAAATCCATTAGTGGCCTAATGTTTCTTTTTTTTTTCCCTATTTATTTTTTTATTTTTTATTTTTTATTGTTATGTTAATCCCCATACATTATATCATTAGTTTTAGATGTAGTGTTCCATGATTCATTGTTTGTGCATAACACCCAGTGCTCCATGCAGAACGTGCCCTCTTTAATACCCATCACCAGGCTAACCCATCCTCCCCCCGCCCTTCTAGAATCCTGTTTGTTTTCCAGAGTCCATCGTCTCTCATGGTTCGTCTAACCCTCCGATTTCCCCCCCTTCATTCTTCCCCTCCTGCTATCTTCTTCTTTTTTTTTTTCTTAACATATATTGCATTATTTGTTTCATAGGTACAGATCTGAGATTCAACAGTCTTGCACAATTCACAGCGCTTACCAGAGCACATACCCTCCCCAGTGTCTATCACCCAGTCAGCCCATCCCTCCCACCCCACACCCCACTCCAGCAACCCTCAGTTTGTTTCCTGAGATTAAGAATTCCTCATATCAGTGAGGTCATATGATACATGTCTTTCTCTGATTGACTTATTTCGCTCAGCACCTAATGTTTCTTTTAATAGCAATTCTAAATCCTTTTTTTGTTAAAAAAAAAATAAGATATTTAATAATAACCCTGTTGTATTTACCCAAATCAGAACATTTAGAATTTTTATCTGTTTAAAACAATATCCCATTTTCTAATTGGTGTAATTTTCAGTTCCATGAAGACCTGTTTCCCCACATCATCTTACAGCCTCCTCAAGTTTTCTCTGTCTTAAAGTACCTGTCTGCTCACCTCTTCTTACTCAACTTCTGCTCTTTATGGTGTAATTCAAATTTCTACTCTCTGAAGCCTTCCTAGTCTTCACTGATTTTGCCATTTTTCAAATTTTCTCTCCATGAAATTTCTATTGGACATAATTAGCACTTAAATAGATTCTGATCTTCCTTTAAAGATTTTATTTTTAGAGCAATTTTAAATTCTCAGCAAAACTGAACAGCAGGTACAGAGAGAGCCCACACACCACCTCCCCTACACACTCACAGCCTCCCTCACCATTAGCGTGCCCTACCAGAGTGGTACATTTACAAGCAATAAACCTACATGGACATACCATTATTACCCAAAGTCTACAGTTTGCATTAGGATTCACTTTTAGTGTTTTACATTGTGTGGGTCTCGACAAATGTATAAGGCCATTTATCTACCACGTATCATACAGAAGAATTTCACTGCCCTGAAAATCCTCTGTGCTCTACTTATCCATCCCATCCTCCCCCCAACTCCTGCCAATCACTGATCTTTTTACTGACTCTGGCCTTTTCTTTTCCTTCTTTGTTATTTTATTTGTATAATATATGCCTCTCTGGGGCGCCTGGGTGGCTCAGTCAGTTAAGTGTCTGCCTTCCGCTCAGGTCATGATCTCAGGGTCCTGGGATCAAGCCCCACCTGTGCTCTTCCCTCTCCTCCCCACCTGTGCTCTCTGTCTCTCTCTCTCGCTCTCAAATAAATAATTAAAATATTTAAATATATATATGTATATGCCTCTCTAACTTGATGACAAAATTGATTATTTTGATCTTCGCTCAAAACAATAAATATGTTACCCGAGTGTCAGATTTAGGATTCCAGAAGCCTTCAGGCTTCACAAAGCCATCTTGCCCTTAAAATGTACATAAAAGGATCTGAACTCTCAATCCACAATTGATGGTATAATTTGGGTATTTATATTTACCCTTATGGCATTTAGCTCCAATATCCAGTTTCAACAGAATTACTAACCCTGTCTCTATCTTTAGTATGCATTGTCTGCTTTCCATAAAACGTCACCCTCAAACTGGATACCACACTAATCTATTTATTTTATGGAGTATCACAGCAAGTTTTTGCTGTTGTTGTTGTGGTTTTTTTGGAGATTTTTATTTATTTATTTGACAGAGAGAGAGAGCACAAGCAGGGGGAGCAGCAGAGTTAGAGGGAGAAGCAGGCTCTCCACTGAGCAGGGAGCCCGATGCAGGGCTTGATCCCAGGATCACGACCTGAGTTTAAGGCAGACACTTAACTGACTGAGCCACCCAGATGCCCTTGTGTTGATTTGTTTTTAATTCTGGATAAATGGAGAAGATATTACATTTATAAATTATCATCCCCAAATTAGATATTAGTAACGCAAATTTTTCAAGTCATTGCTACTAAAGATTATCCCACTTGGAGTTCCACATTCCCACTGTCTTTCTAAATCCCTTTTTGGCTCTCCACCCACAGGCCTTTTTAAATAGCATCTGGCATTGTCCCTTATTATTCAGAGTACATGAGTTCTTGCTGGCGTCACACCCTCCTCATCTTGTGGGCAGCCCAGAGACATATACCAAACAAGCTCTGTTACCTGTGTTTATTTCAGCCAGCAGAGCCCTCTGCCCCCTGCGAGCTCACCAAATCCTCCCAACATAAAAATTACTGCTTTGCTGCACCTTTGGTCAGGTCACATTCTTAGACAGGGCCTCTCCAATTTATCCTGTGTGAGCAAAAGGGAGGTAGTGTAAGGATTTATGATCCTCTAGGCGAAAGAATAATGGAGGGACTGCTCTTCCAATTACATTTATTAATTAAATTAAAGGTGAGCTTTGCCCCTACAGAAATGTGAGATTCTAAAACTCATGATGAGGACAGTTCCTTCAGTGTGGGCTGAATTCTTTTCTCTTGAATTCTTCATTTACTGGAGCTCCAACTCTCACTGTTGCCAATAGGAATTTTTGCCATACAAAGATAGGAATGTGGTCCTGGGAATTTAATTATTCCTAAAACAGAATTCTTGTTTTATTGAATATAAATAGGTATGCTTAGTTATGTTAGAGATTTTATAGTACTTAAATACCAATAATTATTCAAACAGATTTATTGAAGTTTAATGGCAATGTTAATAATAATGTCGGTATGTTTTATATGCAATACTTGTTACACCTCATTAAACAGGTTGGTAAATGATCCATTGCTGTTTAATTAACATGCAATGACTATTATTAAATCTTAAACTGTAAATTAAATCCTGATTTGAAACTCTTAAATTTAAAGTGTGATTGAAAACTTCTTTGGGCATGAGCCCCCAGAGTCCATTTTATTTTCCATGGTTCCTTCCTACCCTACCCTACACCTATCCCACATCATACTTTGGAATTGGAAAGTGGACTGCACTTAATTTGTGTGGCTGAATTTTTTTGAATGGAGAGAGGCATGCCTTTCTAGTAGCTGAGCAAATTGTGAATGGAAAATAAATTTTATAAAGTCGATCCAATTTCTTACATATGGAAGATTACTTCTTTTTTTAAATTAAATTAAATTAAGTTATTCATTTATTTTTTATTATGTTATGTTAATCACCATACATTACATCATTAGTTTTTGATGTAGTGTTCCATGATTCATTGTTTGCGTATAACACCCAGTGCTCCATGCAGAACATGCCCTCTTTAATACCCATCACCAGGCTAGCCCATCCTCCCACTCCCCTCCCCTCTAGAACCCTCAGTTTGTTTCTCAGAGTCCATAGTCTCTCATGGTTCATCTCTCCCTCCGATTTCACGCCCCCCTTTGGAAGATTACTTCTTAAAAAATATATTTAGGAAAAGAAATAGGCTAAAGTTTTACAATTATTCCCTCATACTTTCATAGTAGGTTATACTGGAAGCTTGGCAAGCTTTATTTGGCTAATTCAGAACTGTTTACTAACTGCAAGATCCATGGTGCACGTAGGACTCTTCAATCTTTGCTGAACAAGCCGGCTATAAAAAGAGCAGGTTGAGGTTAAGTGGGCAAGTGTAGTTTCTCTATTTTTGATAGTAAGAATCAAGTCCTGTTAGAGTTCATATGTATTTCAGAAATATACAGAGTGTATGTTGGAGTTTGCTTGATAGTGACCCAGAGAATATCAATATTCTCCAGATGTTGTATAACTTTTTACATCTTCTTTTGTGTTCTTCCACCTTGTGGAACGCAAAACAGATTCCTTGTGTTAGAATTTATATTCTGTGCATCTTTTCTCCAATGCTAACCTAGAATAGCTTTCAATAATATTTTAGCATTGTATAATACAAAACATCCTGAGATTAGGGAAAACTACAATTTCAAATAACTTCCAATATCTTGGCTAGATAGGGTTGAATTATTTTCCCATAATTCTTTGGATAATATGAATAGTGCTAAAGGTGCATAAATTTTCACTTTGAGTTTTTTAAATATTTTTAAAGATATTCAGTTAAGCTTATTTGACATACCTACCTATAAGATTATAGTCCTCTCTTCTGTATCTGTAGATTGAGAAAAAAATCCAGGTATTATAGAATAATAATGGCAACATTTTTTAGAATAGCAAAATAAAACATTCTCATGGAATTTCATAAACATAAAAATGTCTCCCAAATTTTACCTTCATGAAAGTATTTGTACACATATGCTCCAAAGTGTGTACACTGGAATTAATAGTTTGTCTGGAAAACTTTCTGCACACTCCCTGCCACCGTCACCACCCCACATCTCATCATATCGCTCAGATGAACATCTCTCCTTTCAAAAGTCAGCTCAACACTGAATATTTTTTTTTAAGTAGGCCCTACGCCCAGCATGGGGCTTGAACTCATAGACCCTGAGATCAAGAGTATTATGTTCTACAAACTGAGTCAAATGGGCACCCCAACGTTGAATATTTTTTACAGCTTTTCCTGTACTCCTGTAAGGAGTTAGCTTCTTCTTTGGGATTGCTCCCTCTCAAGATACTATACAGCTCTACTGTTGAGTGGTAGCTCAGTAAGAAGTACTGATGTGTTTCCATGGTTGCCTCTCCCTAATTGACTGTAGACACCTTGCAGGCACAACCCATGCCCAGTTGATCTCGAATCATGAGCCCCAATAGAATGATGGACACATAGTCAGAGCTCAACATTTTTAGTAAATAAATATTTACCCCTAGGATACTATGTATGAGCATCCGCAGAGATTACCATTGCTGCATTTCACCTCCTTAATTGTATTTTCCCGTGGTTCTGCTGATGTAAATGCGCACCATCTTTGAGATTCCCTCCATTTTCTCTTTTATCAAAACCTTCTTATAGGGCTGCCACCGGTCATTTTCCATGATTAGAATTCTGTCAGTCTCTGAGAGGTGCTTAATGTCTCATCAGTCATCGTGGGGCAGGGCTTCCTCCAGGCAAGCTGTGAAGTCAATTCACTCATGCCACACAGGCTCTTAGCATTGTTGTCACTTAATATTTGTGAATTATAGACCGGAAGTATGTACGAAAAAAACACATTATTTCATCAGGAAAAAAATAAATAAAAGTGGTTTAATTAAACTGTGAACCTCAAAAATAGTGTAATATTCAGGTATACATTTCTAAGAAAGCACCCCTTTCTCTATGCATTTCTCCAAGATGAAGAAATTGTTACTATAGAACTTTGTTAATTTGAATTTTCACTCTCATTTTAACTTAAAACTTAAGATAGAATTATAATATATATTTTCTTATGTAAATGAATAATTTTATTGCATTTATGTATTTACTTGTGTCTTTTCTCTCTCCACCAATGGAAGATAAAGTCCTCAAGACTGATTTTTCACTGCGGAAACCGGTCTGCCTAGAATAGCAGCTGCTCAATAAAGACATGTGGAATCCATGAAGATTCAATTTCTCTTTTTATGAATTCTACTTAAATACAAGGCCTCTGCGACAGTTTGCATTTATATGGTATGTTTACATTACTGCTTTTAGTCCTATAATGGCTCTGCATGGTACATAATTCAGACATAATTCATGTAATTGTACACATAAGGTAGTAGATAAATATTAAGAGGCCTGTCCAAATTAACAGGCCAGAGAGTAGCAGAGCTGGTAATAAAGCTAATGTGCTCTTATTTTCAATTCAGGGAAATCTCTATCACACCAAGATAAATAACTGCAAGTTCACTTACATTTGTGAAAATATGATTTGCTCATTTCTAGTGTCCAAATACACAGCTTGGTAAAAAGAACCGAAATCTGACAGACATCTTAAGAAATTCTTCTGCTCTCTCTTTTCTGACCCTCTCTCTGTCTTTCTATTTTTTTTTTCAATTCATTCACATAGATTATATATATAAATACACATATGTACTTTCTTACATTTGGGTATGTTCAGTAGCACTTTTTCTTTATAACTACCTTTCTATTGAAAGGATTTATAGTATCTGAGAAAAGATGCAATAATGATTATATTCTCTCAAAGAGGCATATTCTTATTTGCTAGTGTCCAGAGAGACTTCCACTAGACTCTCCAAATGAGTACTGTATCTCATGCTAAAAACTCTAAGAGCAGCCACTTCATATAAAATTGAAAGCACCTACCAACCAAGGCTCCTGTATGCAAAGAAGAGAAGCACAAGAGGAGACTGATTAGCATGAGAGCATGAGAAGTTCTGCTGACCTGGTTTTGCATAAAACCAGTGAAAATTACTTAAGAAGTAACAACAACAAAAACTAAAGCTTCTGGAAATGATCCTAAGGGAAAACAATACATGAATAAATATCTATTCATGAAAATCTATGAAAATTTGGTTAGAAAACCAAGAGTCAAATGGGAAGATAAAATATTCAAAGTGATAAAAAATGATCTACCAAGAGTCCTGTATCTAGGAATGTTGGCTTTCAAAAATGAAGGCAAAGTTAAGATAAATATGATAGTCATCCACTAAAACATATTTTCAAAAATATATAGTGAAAGGGCACGTGGGTGGCTCAGTCAGTTAAGTAACCAACTCTCAGATTATGATCTCAAGATCATGAGATTGAGTCCAACTTTGGGCTCTGCACTGGGTGTGGAGCCTGCTTAAGATTCTCTCTCTCTCTCTCTCCTTCTCCCTCTGCCCCTCCCCCAGCTCCCAGCACACATGCGCTCTCTCACCCTAAAAAAAGAAAAAAAGTGAAAAACATAATTATAATCACAGACCCAAATGTAAAAGTGCAAAGTTCTAAAACTCCTAGAAAATAACACAGGAGAATTTCTCTATGACCTTGGGTCTGGCACTGACTTTTTAAATACAACATCAAGGGGCGCCTGGGTGGCTCAGTCGTTAAGCGTCTGCCTTCGGCTCAGGTCATGATCCCAGGGTCCTGGGATCGAGCCCCGCATCGGGCTCCTGGCTCCGCGGGAAGCCTGCTTCGCCCTCTCCCACTCCCCCTGCTTGTGTTCTGTCTCTCTCTGTCAAATAAATAAATAAAATCTTTTAAATAAATAAATAAATAAATAAATAAATAAATAAATAAATACAACATCAAAGTCTTGCTCCCTGAAAGGAATAAGTGATAAGCTAGACTTTATTAGAATTAAAGATTTTGCTCCGTGCAAGACAATCTCAAGAGAACTAGAAGACATGTGACCACTGGGAAAAATATTTGCAAAATATTTCTCATAAAGTACTGTTATCCAAAATATAAAAAGAATACTTAAAACTCAACAATAAGAAAATTAACAACTTGATTTTAAAATGGGCCAGGGGTGTCTGTATGGCTCAGTCAGTTAAGCGTTTCACTCTTGGTTTTGGCTCAGGTCATGATCTCAGGGTTGTGGAATCAAGCCCCATGTTAGGCTCTGTGCTGGGTGTAGAGACTGCTTAGGATTCTCTCTCTCTCTCCCCTCTGCCCCTCTCCCCCTCTCTAAAATAAAATAAAATAGGCCAAAATTCTGAACAGACACCTCACCAAAGATATATAGATAGCAAATAAGCATATGAAAAAATGTTCAACATCCTATCTCACCAGGGAATTGAGAATTAAAACAACAATGAACTACCACTACACATCTATTAGAATGGCTGAAACCCAAAACAATGGCAATACCAAATGCTGGTGATGATGTGGGACAACAAGAACTGTCATTCATTGCTGGTGGGAATGCAACGTGGTACAACCACTTTGGAAGACAGTATGGCAGTTCTTACAAAACTAAACATTCTCTTACCATATGATTCAGCAATCATGCTCCTTAGTATTTACACAAATGCACTGAAAATATGTCTACACAAAAACCTTCACATGGAAGTTTATAGCAACTTTTTTCATAATTGCCAAAAGCAAGTAAGATGTCCTCTAGTAGGTGAGTGGATGCATAAACTGTGGTACATCCAGACAGTGGAATATTATTCAGTGCTAAAATGAAATGAGCCATCAAGCCATGAAAAGACACGGAGGAACCTTAAATGAGTATTGCCAGATGAAAGAAGCAAATCTGAAAAGGCTAAAAAATTTTATGACATTCTGGAAAAGAGCAATGGAGACAGTAAAAAGATCAGTAGTTGCCACAGGTTAGGAGGGAGGGAAGGATGAATTGGCAGAGAACAGATGAATTCCAGGGCAGTGAAACTATTCTGTATCCTATCACAGGGGATTACTACAATAGTGGATACTATAATACATTAATATATACTTGTCCAAACCCATAGAATGTACAACACTAAGAGTGAACCCTAATGTAAACTATGGACTTTGAGTGTCCATGTACCTTCGTCAATTTTAACAAATGTATCACTCCAGTAGGGGACGTTGGTAATGGGGGAGGCTGTGTATGCGTGAGGGCAGGGGATATCTGGGGTACATCTGTTACTTATGCTCAATTTTGTAGTGAACCCAAAACAGCTCTAAGAAAAATTAAATCTATTAAAAATCATTAAAGAAATTAAAATGTTAAGAAGAGAGAGAAACTTTATACAAATAAATAAATTTCCTTCCACAAATTTTTAAAAAAACATTTAGCGTTTGGACGCCTGGGTGGCTCAATCAGTTAAACATCTGACTTCTGCTCAGATCATGACCCCAGGGTCTGGGATTGAGCCTCACTTCTGGCTCCCCACTCAGCAGGGAGTCGGCTTCTCCTTCTGCCCCTCCCTCTGCTCGTGCTCTCTCTCTCAGTAAATAAATAAAATCTTAACAACAACAACACATTCATCGTTAAATATATGCATGGCATTCTGCTTTTTGTGTTAGGGACTCAAAGTTGAAACACAGGTGAGTTGTATCTACAAGATGCTCACATTCTCTTTGGCCAGATGAAATACATACACACAGAACAATTTTTGCAGGCCATGTAATGGTGACTAGCATAAGGAAGATTTAAGTGAAGTTTAATGGGCCTTCAAAAGGAGTACTTACCTCTTTCAGGGAAAGTTCTTTGAGGCAGGTGGCATTATCGCTACTCTTTGAAAGAAGGAAGGACTCTGGAATGTATATAAATGCTGAAGGTCTTTCCTGGTGGAAGGAACTGCAAAAGAAAGAAGGAAGGACTCTGGAATGTATATAAATGCTGAACGTCTTTCCTGGTGGAAGGAACTGCAAAAGTAAAGGCATGTGGTTTAGACAGTGGAAGTTTAAGAACATATGTAAACCAAAATCAAGGATTGAATTCCTGAGAGAAAGCTTGAACACGCAAAATCGAGGGGGGCAGACTGGAGTAGCCAATCAGCTGTGCAGGTGAGGCAGTGATGAACAGGCTAATCCCAGATGGGAGGAGGGAGACTTCTTTACCTTAGACAAGAAGAGGATGGATAAATATCTGAAGTAAATGGAGGTTGAAGAAAGAGAATTCAGATATATTTATTTTTTTTAAAGATTTTATTTATTTATTTGACACAGAGTGAGAGAGAGAGAGAGAGCATAAGCAGGGGGAGTGGCAGGCAGGCAGAGGGAGAGGCAGGCTCTGTGCTGAGCAAGGAGCCCGATGCGGGACTCGATCCCAGGACCCCGGGATCACGACCTGAGCCGAAGGCAGACGCTTAACGACTGAGCCACCCAGGCGCCCAAGAATTCAGATATACTTAAATCATTTATTTCACTAAACTTCATAAAGCAACATGTTTGGCAAGGGATCAGAGTGGCCTGGATACAGTTTAAGGCTTGAGATCAAGAGGAGCTTCAAAGAATGTACAGGAAATAATGTGACAAATACCCTATTAGGGATCATTTGAAGAGGCAAGGCTATCATGTACAGTTGAGCACGTTGTAGCTGCAAAACGGTGCCCAGATGAGAAGGCAAAGAGGGGGCTGGACACGCTGCCTCAGCCTGTGTGCACTCCAAGGAGTGCCTTTCTTTAACTCGCACAGAAGTTCCAAATGAGCCAGTAGTGGCCCTGAAGAAGATCTAAAATGAAACTGATGTTTAGGTTTTATTAAATACCTATACTCTTAAGTGAACCTAGAGTACTTGGCTTAAGAGAAATAAGTGTCTTTGTGTTAAAAAGTAACCAAAAATTTAAAGTGGCCATCCCTTAAGTTCCATTAGCCCTGCGGGACCCCCGAGGGGCGAAGTTGGTTAAGGTACAGACTCTTGGTTTTGGCTCAGGTCCTGATCTCAGGATCATGAGATCGAGCCCTGGGTCTGGCTCTGTGCTCAGCATGGAATCGGCTTGAGATTCTTTCTCTCTCTCTCCCTCTGCCCCTCCCATTTGTGCACTCTCTCTCTTTCTCTGTGTCTCTCTCTAAAATAAATAAATGAATCTTAAAAAAAAGAAGTCCCGCTAGCCCTGGAACTAGAGTGCAGTAAGGCATTTCAGAATCACGATGTCTAAATTCTGTAGTGCAAGCAGCAGTCACTTTCAGAAAGTAGGATTTCCTTCCACCTTAGTTATGTTGGCAACATTCCCAAAGCTATTGAGCAGTCTAAATAATTTGCCAATATATTTACAGTGTGGATTTGATTAGATTAACTTTCACTTTAGCCAAATGGCTTTTCTCAATCACAGCCTGGTTTGGACTTCCCATCTTGAAAACATAGCTGGTGTTTCCTGGAAATTCTTAATGACCGGTCTGGTAGGCGAATTCTAAATAAAAAGACAATCTTCAGATCTTATTTTAGGTAAATTGTCTCTTTCAGGAGTAATTCAAGTAGTTGAAGGTTAAAGGCAGTATCGTATTTAGATGGACATAATTTCAATACTGAGGGCAGCACTCAACCATCCAGTTTATAATACCTACGCCTCAGTCAGAGACGAGCACAATCAATCTTAGCCCACTGCACTGGGGATATAGAGAGATTATGCAAATATGAGAAAAGGAAGAGAATATTTTGCCCTTTTTACAACACTCTTTGTTACTATTAAATGTCAAACTATACACGAAGCACCATTTCACTTCCAAATTTCAGAATTCCCAGACTAATAAAGAAGCTTAAGTAGTTTAGAATGATTATAGCCTCAAAGGCATTTAGGTAGGCTGCAGAAATCGTGCCTTCCCACCTCTCCCTGGCCTGCCTTGGTGGGTGCTGCAGGGAATAAACCTAACAGAGACAATGCAGAACAACAGCATGGAGTACCAAATGATCCCATCAAATTGATTTTCAACTGGTGCCAATCAACTGAAATGAATGCACTTTTTAGTCTGGAATCGTTTCTCTCTTGCATATTGAGACAATTGATTTGATGCAACTGGTGATTATTCTCTCTGTGTCTGCCATCCAGTATAAATAGTCTTACCATTTCTATTTGGTGATGAACAAATAGCCTTGGCCTGTGCGTGTAACCTACGTATCACCCATTGCAGTTTCTGGGCTGTTACAGGTACGGAAGTAGGGGGCTTTGTCTATTTAAAGAAATCCTCAAAGTAAATGCTCAATATAAATCCCAAGTATTATTCTCTTTAGAAAGAAGTATTTCTTAAAAAAAGGTGGTTTTATAGAATTTGGCTTCCCTAATTTTCATAACAGTTCTGAGAACATAGTTCCCTTCCCTTCAGCTACACTGACTTCAGAACTTCTTTTCTAATTACTCAATAAAGAGGCAGTTTCTTTTATTTTTCCAATTTTTATATCTCTAGGTTTTTCCATAATTACAGGCACAGATATCCAATTTGTTCTACCCCTTACTACTAAATTAATTAGCTATATTTTCATAAAACTAATGTCACCTCAACTTTGTGGCTTTTTTTTCCACCAAAAATCTCTGACAATAATTTCTGTTGTATCACAAAATATTTCCTTAAAAAATTCAATGAAGTTATAAAGAAAAAATTAAATGCTGTTATGCTGCCCCATACTCTCTTCCACTGTCCCAAATCACTCTTCTGGCTGCAAAACTGTCAGGCACAGCATGACGCCTGCTAAAAATGAGTTCGACCCAGCGTCTTGTCATATGTAGCCCATGTTTTGTGCTCTCTGATCTTCTAAAAAGAACAAAACAAACCCTGAGCGTAGGCAGTTACTTAGATGGTTCTAGGGAAGCTGTCATTTCCATGGTAGCTTTTTTGTCTACTGCAGAGAGAGGCTGAGACTAAAAACTCCCGGAAGAAAAGAGAAAAATGAAATAGCATCACTAGCATGTGGATGAATATCAAGCAGAAGAAGATACTGGGCCACAAAGCAAAGATGACTGTAGGTGCAAATACAAAATGGGAAGAGAATATTTGAGTGTTTTAGTGAATATTCAGAGTGAAGATGATGTGGGTAGCGTAATGTACAAAAATGTTTCATTAGTGAAAATCATACTTAATGCCGTTTAGCTCTCTGGTTATAAAATGTTTAAATATTTGCCTAAACTACCCTCTCTGGTCTATAGAAATTATGGAGACACAACCAAAACATGTGTGTAAATGTGTGTTTGTGTGTGTATAAATGACTCTAACATTCATTATATTGAAGGGAACAAAATGCTTAAAGTGTTGAACAATACACAGGAATCTATTTTCTACAAAATACTTGAGCACAGTGATACAAAAATACAAGTACGCTCAGAGCAACATTGCTAGTGATAGAGGAAAAAAAGAAACGCAATTGAGAGAGAAGAATTACACAATATCCACAAATGGAAAACTGTGCAGCCATTACAATAACTGAATTAGATTCTGACTTAGAAAAATATCCACTGCATATTGTTAAATGAAATAGCAAGCCTCAGAACAAAACGAAGAATCTGATCCCAATTTGTTTCAAGACCCAAAAGAAATTGTAGTCGAACATGAAAGATGCATATTTATATGCACAGAAAAATTCTCAAAGGATAGTAAACACAGAACTATTAAGGGAAAGAAGGCAGAGGAGGGCATACCCTTTTACTATATACACTTACATATTATTCGAATTTGTTGAAGCCAACATGTTTTTCTTGTTTAACTAAAACAAAAAGATTAAAAGAAAAGTGTACATTGCGGAGTAAGTGCGTTTTTAGATAGTTCAGAGGGGAAGGAAAAGTGTCAGACTTCCAAATAGACCCTTCCATTTATATTTCAGTACCTCTGGCTGTTTTTTAAAGGTCATAAATATCTGTAGTTGATGACTACAGAGTGACTTATTTATCTTTTCCCTTGGCTTTGAAGTCAAGAAATATGTGTGTGCCCCTCTCCACATGCCTCCTTTCTGCACCCCTGTTTTCCATGCGGTCTGTTGTTACAACATCTTGGAATCAGCATAATAAAACCCCAACTGTTGTCTCTTGACTTCCAATTCTGTGATTAAAAGGGAATTCAATTACAGTGCAGAGGGGTATGCAAGGTGTATGGGTATGGAGCAGTGAGTTCAGATGTGGCACAGAGAGTTCTGGCAAAGTGTGGCTCTAAAGCAGACAAAAGCAGCAATGTTAAGGGAGTGAGTTTAACACAAAGAGACATGGGAAAGACACTTACTCATTTAATTTCTATTGAAGAGGCAGTCGCATGTTAGGAGAGAAAAGGAAGATTTAAAGTATAACTGTAGAAAATTAGTTTCTGGACACCTTCAAAGACTCATAAATATTTGGGTTCTCCCCCATCACCACCCCAAAATTTCCTAAATCACAAATAGTGCAGGCATCCCCAGTGACAAGAAAGCAGGGCAGTGACAGATGCTAGCTGTCATGTAGATACACAGAAAAGAAACGGTCAGGCACACCGTTTAATGTTCTTCATTAAAAAGCATGTTACACGAAAGGGAGTCCATAGTAAGGGGACCAAACTTTTAAACACATGTTGGTTTGACTTACATGCCAGAGCAGCTACTGTCTTTATAATCAACGTGTACAGAGTTGCAAAAGCATCCACGTGGCACTTTCAAATATGTTTTGCAACTTTTTCCATGTGGTTGGCAGGTTCTAGCAAAGCATAAATTAACTACCCATGTGTTTGTCATCCCATTACATATTGCAGCCATATGATGATAAGAAACAAGCGAATACTTTCCTCACTATTTTCAGAAGGATTATATCCAACCTTTGGATACAGAAAAACATTAAAATGCACATAGTGATAGCACTGAGATAGCTATACTGTGGTATTAAAAAAAATTATGCCTCAGGTG